TGGGGCTTGGAGTCATGGCTGCTGGCCCCGTAGCTCCAGGACCGGCAGCATTTTGTGGAGAACGATGAGATGTACTCAGTCCAGGACCTCCTGGATGCCCACACGGGCCGCCTGGGCTGCTCGCTCACCGAGACCCACACGCTCTTCGCCAAGCACATCAAGCTGGATTGTGAGGTGGGTGCCCCGCTGAGGAACAGGCATCTCTCCTCGCCCAGCCCCCGGAGCAGGGAGGGTGGTGCGCCCTGGCTTCAGGTGCCCTCTGGAGCAGCACTGACTTGCTCCCACCCCCACCTCCACCCCCACCCCCAGCGGTGCCAGGCCAAGGGTTTCGTATGTGAGCTCTGCAGAGAGGGTGACGTGCTGTTCCCCTTCGACAGCCACACATCCGTGTGCAGTGACTGCTCCGCCGTCTTCCACAGGTGGGTGTGGCCCCACCCCACCCCCAGCCACAGGGAGTGGGGCGGGGGAAGATGTTTGGGGCTTGGTCTTTGTTGCCTGGTTTTCAAAGCCCTTTGCCTTGATCCTGAGATAGGGCGTTAGGCCCTGATGTGTGTGCCTGAATCGCAAGATCCACTGAGACAAGCACCTGTGGGGCTGGGGAGGGCCCCGGTGTGAGCCCCACAGCTGTCCTGCTTCCCTATCCCCAGGACTGAGTTGGCCTCTCAGGATTAGCATAGGCCACGGTGTCCTAAACCTAGTTCTGGCACTTCTAATGTCCGAGTGATATTTTTTCCAACTTCTCTAGGCTAAAAGAAATACCTAATGTTTTGTTCATTAAGTATTTAGGTTAAACAATGTAAGCATTTATGACCTAAAGACTTACTGAATGTTTGGGAAAATAATACACATAGATTGGAAGAAAGTATTTTAACTGTTGAAGAAGCACAATTACTAATAATAGGGAGTCTGCCTGCTGGGCCCTGCACAGCTTCTCACAGTGGCCTCAGATGGGACAGCGCCCCCCCTTCTGCCCACACTGGGTGTTTCCTGCCACTGGCTGTTGGTCATCGCAGCAGCTGACGTCACAGCTTTGAGAACTGGGGTTGCTGTCACAGGAAGGGTTCATGTTGAAGCTGTGAAGTCCCTTGAGCTAGCAGTTTGCATGGTGTGTGACATGTCAAATGCTGCTGTGCCCCCTTCAGAAATTTAGCCCATGGGCCCCTGTGCCTCCACAGTGCCTGGGGCAGAGTGCACAGTGGTGATGGGGCAGGTAGGGTTACCGAGACTCGAAGAGATCCAAGCCAGACTGTCCTTGTCAGACATTGATAGGTGCCAATCACAGGCCCAGCAGGGACATGTGGTACAAACCCTGCTGTGCCCTTTGGAAGACACTGCTTCAGTTTCCCCAACTATAGAGGGAGCCTGGTTAGGAAGCTTGAGGACTCACTGCTAACATCTTATATGCAGAGGCCCCGCCCTGTCCCCAGGGTCTGACCCCGTCTGCCTGTCACTGTCCCCAGGGATTGCTACTATGACAACTCCACCACGTGCCCCAAGTGTGCCCGGCTCATGCTGCGGAAGCAGTCTCTCTTCCAGGAGCCTGGTCCGGACGTGGATGCCTAGAGCCACGGGCACCCCTCCCAAGCCTCTCTGGAGCCCACCCTACCGGTCATTGCCAAAGTTAAGGTGTTTCTTTGCTCTGGACACCCCTGGGGTGCAGCCCCTGGACCTCACCCACTGGGCCAGAGGGTGAAAGCACCACAAAGACCATCAGCCCCCGGTCTTGCTGGGACTCAGGGCTGTGCCTGGCTGTTTCCTGCGTGTGCTGCTGTGAGGGCCAGAATGTGCCCCCTACCACTGCAGGGCTCCATGGTCAGGGGCGTGGGGGAGGGTTTCCGTCTTCCCCATGGTGAAGAGCCCCCCCATGTCCTTGGAGCCAGGCTGCTGGGTCTTGGCTGCCCTAAAAACCCTGGAGGGCTTCCAGGGAGTGGCTGACAAGACCTGAGGATGCCCGCTGCACACCCTCAGCCTTGGCCTGAGACTCATCTGTAGTGGATGGTTGGGATCTCCCTGGAGGCTCCCATCCCCCACCCCTTGTCTCTTTGGGGTCTCCTGGCTGTTCCTGGCCGAGGCTCTTACAGGTGTCCCCCAACGGCCTGGCCCTGCCTCTACGTGTCTCTCCTGTAGATTGGAGGTTGACAGGGCCAGTCCAGGGGTTACCGGATCTTTCTACGCAACATGGAGGGAAGGGGCCGTGGAGCTCTTTTCCCTGGGGGACCAGCTGTGGCTCCTGACTCGGCCTAGCCCGGCTCACTCTGGTGCTCTGAGCTGGGTGGCTGGGGGTCCTGCCTCCAGGTGTGGCTCAGAGAGGTTCCAGAGGTTTGAGTGGCATTTCTGGGGACAAGATTTGCCCTGAGATGGTCTGTCCTGCTACAGTGCCTGTGGAGGATCCGGACAGCTCACGGACCACCAGCCAGGGCCTTGTTGGGGACCCTGAGGTCAAGTGCTGGGAATATTTGCTCCAGTGAGTTCAGGCAGGAAGCCTAGAGTCCATGAAGGAAGATGAGCACGAGGTGTGTGACACCCCATCTGACAAAGGACCCCGGACGGAGGATGAGGCCCACAGTTCTTCCTTGGGGGAGCTGCAGCCAACATCGACATTTGCAGGGATGTTTCATGCATCAGAGACCCTGCCTTTGAGGGGGCGGCCTGGGGGCAGAGTCTTTCCTGCCCTGCCCTGGACTGTGATTGGCTGTCACATACAGGTAGTGGTGGTGGGCAGGGAACACAGCCACTGGGTTCCCCATCACCTTTGACTAGGAAGCCCAAGAGGAGAGGCTGCAGCCAGCAGAAGGGTCAGCTCAGCTTGTTGGCCATTGGCCGACGCAAGGGGTGCTGAAGACAGTGTCATGTGGCGGCTTTAGGGGATCCTCTTGCTGTCTGCTCTGACCTGCCTCAGTGTGACAGCGAGAAGCGGGTCAACAGCAGGTCCTCAGCCTGCCTCTCTTGTAGGGTTGCAGAGGGTTTAACCAGTTACCTACCACGTGTCCAAAACGGAAACCATCCCCACACGCCACAGTATTTTGAATTTAAAAAAATCAATTTGCAATGAATATTACAAAAATAAATAGATTACAATTTGAGTGTTCTTGAATATTTTCAGCTGAAAATTCTCACAAAAAATGATTTTAAAGTTGGTCAGAGCTGCCACTTAGGGAAAACATTTTTTTATAGACGCGCGTGGCGTGTGGGGAAGGTCCGCCGCTTGCGTCTGTAGATGCTTATGGCGTACAGGGGTTAAGGGCAGGTGCTCAGATCTGCACCTTCTCACAGCTGCACGTCTGTCTTGGGACAGAAGCCATTCCTGCGTTCATGTGTTAGGGTCAATGTCCAGAAGAAACGCTAGCATGCTGGCATTTGTCGGACAGAATTGGCTTTTTTAATTTATTTTTTTAGCTCCCTCAATTACCTCCTGCCCCAACACCTCTTCTCCACCTATCCCTTCTGGATGACACAGTCTCCAAACAGAATCACATGTGGTCTTTCTGAGTCCACAGCACTCTAACAAGAACCCACAGAGGAACCAGTTTGCACAGCCAGCACCTTACAGAGGAGCAACGAGGGGCACCCAGCTGGAATGATGCTGCAGCCAGTCTCATTAAATCTGTGATCTCTAGACTTTGCTGTGTGTGGTGAGTCAAGGACAGGTCAGGGTTTGTTGACAGGCAAACCAATTGTGGGTTCTAGGAAAAGCCCACAACCTGCCCCATCCAATTGAGTCCCATTAATCTGGTTTGGGGAGAAGCACTCTTGATGGGTGATGAGCTCGGGCATGGGTGTCAGACATAGGCCTGAGTGCTCCATTCCCTTCAGCCTCCATTATCCTATGAGATGGATGAGAACGCAGACTGTCTCATGGGCTGTTTGGGGGCTAGGAGTCACTGATCACTGAGCGGGGCATGCAGAGAATGCTCAGTGTCCTAATGGAAGGATTGTCTCGTTGACCCAGCATCACAAGAACGTCACAGGTCCTGTGCCTGGTACATCTTGTTAGGCCCACTACAAGGCTCTCACTGAAACTCCAGGCTATTCCCGTTACCCTTGGACTACAGGAAACCATACATCCCTACTGCAAGTTATGTCCAAACAGCTGTATATGTCCATTTTTCTACAGAGATATCATCTGCAGATTTGACCAGGATCTCAAAGGGGCTATGACCCAGAGAACCTCGGAAATCTCTGCTCATCACCTATATCCAGTTGCAATCCAGATAAGCTGTCAGCAACCCTATTCCTAAAGGTTTGAACAGCACCTCAGCTACAAATAACTAAAGCTCTACTTTGGATATCAGGGGGAGGATGCAATCTTTCTCCCTTTCAGGTTATGAAGTAGTAATTAACATTTTTACTTAGACTTACAGAAACGTTGCAGAAACATTCCCACGTACCTGTCTCCTGGATGGCCTACATGTAAACAATTTGCCCCATTTGGTTCATTCTTTTCTTCTCTGAACCATCTGACTGTAGGTTGCAGAGGATGCCACTTTGCCTCTCAATACTTGTGTATATTCCTCCCAACCAAGGAAATTACCTTACATGGCCTCGGTGCAATTATCAGAAGACATAAGAAATTAACATTGCTTAACAAGTTGTCATGCGTTATTTTTTAAAAAGTCTACCTTTATCTATTTCTGGACTTGATCTATTTCTGGACCAGTTCTGACTACTAAAGTGCTTTAATTACAGACCCAATGTGTTTTAATGTCTAGAAGTGCTAGTCGCCTCATAGTTTGTTTTTTTTTCATGAGTATTCTAGCATGCAATCTTTTTTTTTTTTTTTACAAAAAAATGTTTTTATTGATTTTAGAGAAGAAGAGAGAGGGGGAGAGAGAGAAGTATTGATTGGTTGCTTCCCATGGGGCCCATAGGGCCTGGGACTGATGAACCCAAAACCTGGGAATGTGCCCCGACTGGGAATTGAACCAGTGACCTTTCAGTGCAAGAGATGACACTCAACCGAGCCACACTGTCCAGGGCTCATGCAAATTTTTTAGAGCACATATTTAAATAAAATTTTAATGACAAAATTTGATACTCAAGTCTCAAAATTAAAATATCAGAAATAGGGTTTTCAGGGATGTTAAATTTCTGGAAGCAGAGAGACTTGGCTGAGCCTCATCCATTGAGGTCATTTTGTTGCTTCTGGCTTTAACTTTTGGTTACACACACTGAAAAACAACCTAAGATAGTTGCTTTAAGCGTTGCTTTTTCTCATTGTACAATTCCCTGTAGCAATTTATGGCACCACCGATTGCCCTTGAAACTTTCAGTTTCCACTCATCATTGGGACTGCTACTGGTAAGGATCTGTAAGCCAGCCTCAAAATGTGAGAGGGCTGCCGAGAGTTCTCCTGTGGTTAGTTGACGCAGAACAGGTTGAGTGTCTTCACTCTCCTCTCCTGCTGGCTCCTGTTCCAGCTGCATCAGCTCCTCATTAGAGAGAGCATCCTCGTGTGACTGTAGCAACTGGTCCACGTCAGCTTCCACAAGCTCTTCAAAAGCCAGGGTCTTGGCAAGGGTCATAATGTTTTTTTGAAGCTGTGCAATGTTATCTGTTTGGGGAAAATTCTGGAACTGAACACACTGGGGCCAAATTTTCTCCCACACACTGTTCATTGTTGCTGGGCTGAGTGCCTCCCAAGCTATTGCGATGTTGTCTACAGCATCCAAGATGTTGTAGTTTCTCCAAAACTCCCTGATCGTAGCTGTATCCTCCCCATCTGTTGCTTCTAGCATGTGCTCAAAAGTCCTTCTCAGGTAGTGAGCTTTGAAGGTGGAGGCTACGCCTTGACCCATGGGCTGGATGGAGTCGGCTGTACTGTCAGGAAGATATTCCACTCTTACATGATCAGACAGGTCACTCAAATTGACTGGGTGGCATGGTGCATTGTCCAGGATGAGCAATGCTTTGTTGCTTAGATTATTTTTGGCACAGTATTTTTCAACAGCAGGACAAAAAAAGTACGTGAACCATTCATGAAAAATGCTCCTGGTTGCCCAGGCCTTTCTGTTTGAGCGCCAAATCACAGGCAACTTGGGCTTGGAGTACCCCTTCAGAGCCCGGGGGTTTTCTGAGTGGTACACCAGTAAGGGCTTCAACTTAAAGTCCCCAGCTGCGTTGCCACCAAGCAGCAGCATCAAACGGTCTTTGGACGATTGAAACCCTGGCTGAGCTTGTTCCTCCACAGAAATAAACGTTCCTTCAGGCATTCTCTTCCAATAAAGCCCTATCTCATCGACATTAAAAACTTGCTGGGGGGTGTACTCACCGTCTTCCATGATGCTTTTCAGCGCTTCCCGGTATGTGTCCTGGTTGCTAGAAGCTATGCTGTTCATCTTGAAGTGGGGCAAACGATGGCGCTCCTTGAACCTCACAAACCACCCTTTACTGGCACTAAAGGTTTCTTTTTGAGACCTTTCCCCTAGTCCACGCTGCAAGTCATCGAACAAGCTCTTAGCCTTCCTTCTCCTGGATCGTGGCAACACTCAGCGGCAGGTTCCCTGGCTCTGGTCTTCCAGCCACAGGCGCAGCCGCCGCTCCAGAGTCTCCATGGCTGCACTTCGATGGCGAGTCAACCGAGAGGCCCTTGAGGGAGTGGCTACTTGTGAACTCACTGTTATTTTTTCTTTACTATCTCGGATCGTCGCCACTGTAGAGACAGCAAGGTCCAAGGCCTTTGCGATCTGGCTGAGCTTCTCGCCTACTTCAAACCGTCGTAACACTTCCAATTTTATGTCGAGGGGAATTGCTTTCCGTTCCCTTTTGGCATTTGGGACGACCTTTGGGGGCCTTTTCCCGGGCATGTTTGCCTCCAGAATGTAGGG